CGCATACTGTCGAGGGGTTGACTTCATGACGAAACAATTCAAGGAACTAATAAATAGCGAAGCGCACTAGCGTAGCCGGTGCGATCATGCGTTTTGCGCAGTTCCGTCCAATGGACGTTTGTTTACTAAAAATATAACCGTTTTACACTTTCGTAAAATAGTAGATATACCGTCTGACCCCTAAGATGAGGAATTTTCCACTGAAAATTTCATGCGCCTGTACAAGAAAGGTGAATTTGAAAACATGGATGGGGAACATCCTTCCAAATTTCAACCTCGTAGTTTTTCGACTTCCGAGCTAGCAACTTTCACATTACAATTCTCGCGTGGTCTTACGTAAGAAATCTGCATTATTGGGAGTTAAATTTAAGTTTGTGAAAAGCCTGCAGCGGCAGAAAATATCGTCTTGTAATTTCAGTTTTCTAGCTTTCATGGCTTCTGAGATAATTTTCTCCCAAAACTTTCAGTGGGACGTACGCAATATCCAGACGCACAGGAAAACTGGATTTAAATTTTCTGAGTTGCACGTGGTCAAGGGGCATACCCATAACATTTCAACTCCCTACCCTTCGCGGATCCTGAGATAATGATTTTACCCGTCAAAACTTTTACGAGACGTACGTGTTGCCCGCAGGGACGGGAAGGTTAAGTTCTCTGGGTCGCATGTGTTCAGGGGGCGTACACATAAAATTTCAGCTTCCTAGTTTCCGGACGTGGAGGGAGGGGGGGATGGGAAGAATTCTGATTTCACGCGCTAAAACTTTTACGAGGCCGTGTGGCGGGAAGGCTGAATTTAAATCTGCCGCGTCACACGTTGGCTGGGAAAACTATATTAAAATCTCAGCCGCACAGCTTTTGTTGTTCCCGAGTTGAAAGTGTGGGACAAAATGTGGGACATACACATAGGCAACCCCTGACAATGTGCGTTTTGTATTGCTGTTACACAGCACAAAACGCATTAAAAACTGTATGAGAGAGCGAATCAAAAATCAACTTTCTGAATTCTATGTATGTTGAAATCTGTATGTTGAAATGTATGTTGAAATCTGGTGCAAATTTGAGCTATTGTTTTGACTCGAAAAGCAGACTTGGCATGAGAAACTGTAAGATAATTTACCAGCTAATTTCGAACAGTGTTTCAAATCAATTTTCAATCTCTATACAATAGGTTATCACCAAAGTTCAAATACGGAAAAATTTTGCTAACTGAAAACATGACAAGCTGGAATCTCAACATTCATTTAGCTTAGGTTCAATAAAAGAGAAGGTCAGTGGTGTAGTTGTCGGCTACATCTTTGGAGGACATTTTGAATAAGAGTTACTATTGAACCAGTAGCCGTTTTAAGTTTATAGGAAATGA